AGATAATAGGAAAGGGAAATAATTTCCCACTTATGAAGGGGTAACTTTGAATCCTAGCCATTCATTTCCTCCACCTTATTTCATCCTAGCCATTGATTCATTTTCTAATCCCAATCCCATCCTTTATTTCCTATTATCCAAACATAGCATAAATGGGAGACTCAAACTGATTCTTATAATCCAGGATAAATTTGAGGGCCACCAAGATTTGACTGACCCTGACTGCGCCTGCGTGCCCCGTCAATCGGAGGTAGAATTGAAAAAGGAAAAGAAGATAACGCTGTGATTAGCACGGTGTAGAGAGGGGCCATGTTAGCAACGCAAGCAATTTCGTGTGGCGTTTTGTCCCTGTGTTTCTTGATCTTGTTCAATGCAGGTACACGCATCTGCCTTTCTTTTTCTATGACAGTCCAATTAACAGCCTCATACAAACAAAAACTTAAAAATTTAGTTTAGCTGTACATGACATGATGACTGATTTTTTTTTAACTGTGCAACTGTGACTATCTGATCAAAGCAAAGGGCTAGCGAAATTATGTTGTTGATAACCCATCACCTAATCCACTTACAATTAGCATCCAACCGAGCATATAAGACAACCAAAGTGTTTAAATACATCAATTTTTCTTTGCCTGCTTTCAGCGGGCAGGAAGTGTTAGGTGGGATGTTGCTCTCCACATTTCAGTTCTAGCCATGTCTGAGATCCTTCTTTGCATAGTGCCTGAAGCCCTGAACCTGTCCGGTTCTAACATTTCTGCAACGCAGAGAGGAGATCCGGCTTCATGAAGTGGCTCTGCGCTTTCCTGAAGGGGACGAAGGACGGCGAGGCCAACCGACGGCGCCCTCGGGTGACGGCAGGAGAAGAGACCACGCTCTGGGAAGAACCAGTTAGACCAAAGGTAATGTTTCTCAATTCCTCCGCAACCTGACATTTTTCTGTTCTTTTCTTTGGTTCATGGAGTGCCACTATCCAAATTCCCCTTCCTTTATCAGTTAGATTATGGTAATGATGTAGCACTATCATGGGGAAAAGAGTTTCTGAACCTTTCTTTGTTATGTTTCTAGAAGGAAGAACCACCTAGACATAACAATGAAGAAATGGACCATGCACTTGCCCTTGCTCTTGCAGACGATGCCAAAAATACAAAAGGTGCCATATTTGTGAATTCTGTGATATTATGATCATATATTTTTAACCTATCTCTTCACTAAGCACCATTGATGCAACTTTTTTTGGGTAGAGAGAAACCATGACAAGGGAGAAAACGATGAAGAACTCGCTAGAGCAATACAGGACAGTCTGAACATGAATCCTTACCAGCCTTACAATCCTTGTGCACCCTCTCAGACCCAGGCCAGGTCGAGAGGATACAGGTTAGCAAATCTGCTTTCACTAACCTGTCTACAATTCACAGAAACAGCTGGTATGTAAAGAAGCAATATATATCTTTCAGGGTCTGTGGGGGTTGCAAGCATGAGATAGGGCATGGCCATTACTTGAGCTGCTTGGGAATGTACTGGCACCCTCAGTGCTTCCGCTGTTCTTCCTGTCGCCACCCTATCCGTGAGATGGAGGTAACCTTTCTGCAATTCAGTTTAGAATGTCTGAAGGTGTGTGTGTTCAGGTGTTCTCAGGAAGTGACAGTTTACTTTATTCTGTTTCCCAGTTCACCTTGCTAGGTACAGATCCATACCACAAGCTGTGCTACAAGGAGCTTCATCACCCAAAGTGTGACGTCTGCCTTCAATTTGTAAGATTTTTTTTTTTGTGGATGAACTATTTGCAGAAGTGCTAGAACTGATTTTTGGATTAGCATGCCGTTGGAACAGCATTTGCAGGAAACCCTTTTTACGTGTTTGGTTTTTATTGCAGATCCCAACGAACAGGACTGGTTTGATAGAGTACAGAGCCCATCCATTCTGGGGACAGAAGTATTGTCCTTTGCATGAGCATGATAGAACACCTCGTTGCTGTAGCTGTGAGAAAATGGAGGTTTGTACTGCCTTTCTTGCATATGATGAATGTATTTCATGCTTACAAATACACATTAAAAATATTATTAGTTTCTCTATTTTCTCGGCAAAATTTCTATAAATTGCAATTGTACTGATTTGTCAGTTTAAAATATGAGTTCGTACTTAAGACATTTTGTGAATCCCTGCAGCCAAGGAACACAAAGTATATGTCATTAGGGGATGGACGCAGCTTGTGCATGGAATGCCTGGATTCTGCAATCATGGACACCGGTGAATGTCAACCGCTATACCATTCCATCAGAGACTACTACGAAGGGATGAACATGAAACTAGACCAGCAGATACCCATGCTCTTGGTTGAACGTCAAGCCCTTAATGAAGCTATGGAAGGAGAAAGCAAAGTGGGTTCTTTACATCTGTTTGTTCTGTAATGCATAATGCATTACTCCGTCTGGTCATAAATATTTGATGTTTAGGATAAGATTTAATCAAACTTTGAAGTTTGTTCAAATCTTGTCCTAAACGTCAAATACCTATGACTGGACGGAGTATGTGTTATTGATCATTGCATCTTGTATTTCTGCAGGGACCGCATCATATGCCTGAAACACGAGGCCTTTGTCTGTCAGAGGAGCAGACTGTGACCAGTGTAAGTACAACGCATGTCAACCTAAACAGTTTTTAGGATGGTACAATTTCTCTAATGAATAACTAACAAATCAAGGAAGACCAAGTGGTAATATGAAATCAACATCGTTCTGATCAAACGATGAGATTCTCTGATAAATACTGATCATCTAATGAGATTCCCTGTTCAATGATGTAGTTGCAATAAACTAGACAGAGTAGTTGCTTTCAGATCTTACATCCACAGTTCCACTGAGTAGCAGGTTGGCCAAATGAAATCATTGACTTTGTTCCTTTGTGTTCTGATTTTCTACAGATACTTAGGAGGCCCAGAATTGGTGCAAATCGGTTACTAGATATGAAAACCCAACCGCAAAAGCTAACTAGGAGATGCGAAGTCACTGCAATTCTTGTATTGTTTGGCCTCCCCAGGTCAGTGCATTCTTCACAAGTATTTCCATTTTCATGTAAATCAAATGCTACAATTCGTGTATCATTTGTGTGAAGTCATAAACATTCCATACAATTGCAGGCTGCTAACGGGCTCCATTCTTGCCCATGAATTGATGCATGGGTGGTTGCGCCTCAAAGGTAATCATCTGAACATCCATTTCTCCCATTTTCTGAAATCCTATCTGAACATTAATTAATTTCTTTGTATCCTGTCTGACAATGGCACCTACAGGTTACCGGAACCTAAAGGCGGAGATTGAGGAAGGTATATGCCAGGTCATGTCTTACCTGTGGCTGGAGTCAGAGATCCTTCCATCCACTTCAAGATATGGACAGGCTTCAACATCTTACGCTTCATCTTCGTCGTCCTCCTGTCGACCACCACCGTCCAAGAAGGGTGGGATCTCTCACACCGAGAAGAAGCTTGGAGAATTCTTCCTGCATCAGATCGCCAATGACACATCATCAGCATACGGCGATGGTTTCAGAGCTGCCTATGCAGCTGTGAACAAGTATGGCCTTCGCCAATCACTGAACCATATACGGCTAACCGGAGGCTTTCCTGTGTAACACAAGAAAGCACTGTCTATCAGTCTATGTCCATACTGGATGCGGGTATACAGATATCATACACACATACATATGGAGATCATATGGGTTATGGTAATGGAGTAAGATTTCGGATTTGGGTGACCTTGAGTTTTCAGAGAGGTCCTATCAGAGTAAATCAGTTAAGGAACTGCATTTGCTCGAATTAACAGGAGCTGAGGTTGCAATCTAATAAGGTGACTAAGAAACACTAATGTAATGCACAGTATGGCCCATGATAATGCAGTGAAGTATTTATATACGTCTATGTGTATAATGTACTAATTATTTACTGTTGATCTGCATGACTAGGGGTGTAAGTGGCTAACCCGCGAAACCCACTTATAGGCTAAAATAAACCACAAACCCGCTTATTTTGACCTATAAGTGGGTTCGCAGCTGACCCACTTACAGCCCTATGCATGACTGCATACAAGCAAGAGTATCTTTCAAATGAAAATTCAGCGAGAAGAGGAGAAATATTTTCCTAAGCAATCTGTTCGTTCTCAAATACTTGTCACGGGACACTATTCATGATTAAACTTCAATCATTTGTCGCTTTTTGCAAAAATGTATAAGTACTTAATTGTGTTCATCCTAAATATAAGCATTTAGCTTTCGTTCATCGTAGTCTAGTCATTTAGAAATTACTAATGTCGAAGTTGAAACAGTGATAAGTATTTAAGAAGGGAGGGAGACACCTTTCAAGTAAACAATGGCCCCTCGAATCTGAAGTATGCTGAACAGTCTTCAGTGACCTGTTAACAATCCCCTACCACAGATCAACGCCTTTGCGAATCGCAGCCAATACTCGTGCAAAGGTGCAAAGAAGCAGCGGAACCAGATGACATGCATTCTGAGGAAGCCATCAGCTGTGGATTAGCTACTCCGTTCTCACATTATGTACTGCTAGCATTGATGTCACTGAGCATTTGAACTCTGTTCTCACATTATGCACTAGCATTGAGCCATTGATGACGACATAATGGCTCTGCCGCATATGACACTACACTTCATTATATGTCTTCTCAACGAAGTTTAGCAGCACCTCTCTTCACCTGAGTTAACTAAGCATTTGAGATTGGTTCATTTGCCGGAAAAGGCCACGCGTTTCTCAGTCCATAAGCAGTGGAGACATGTCCAATATTTCCCATAGACAGTTTTGTCCATCGTGCGAGCAAGAAGTTGAACAATTACAATGTGGATCTAAAATTAACTTTTAACTTGTACTTGCATCCAAGAAGAGGCCGCATTAACAAACTATCGTCCAATAAAGAGGGATACAACGTTCCTTGCTCACTACCAGGAAATTTGAATGACAAGGCCATTCACAATAATGTAGCCGAACTCACTTGTGAATTGTAATAAGCTCACTAGGACAACATGGATAAACAGATCATCTTGGAGGCCATCTTTCAATAGTATTGTAGAGCTGAAGACAATGGCCTCATGTACCATTACAAAACTGAAACTGTTAACATACACTAAAACTGGTGGACAGAAATTTGAAGACCTATGGCAGCGGCTCTTCTTTTACCATGCACTACAAGAAAATCTGTAACCATATGAATATCCTTCCATTCCATGATATTATAAACTTAAAAACCTAGTACCATCTAGATCCTAACATATGCTACAAAGTCATTTTTCTCGCTCTAATCAGCCTCAAGTGTTATTCTGGCCCAAACATCAAAATTGTCAAGCGTGACAAATGTTGGACAGCTAATCATCTGATGCCAGTTCCGTGAGGATGGACTTCAGCGTCTCATACGTCATAAAAACAATGCCAACACTTGGGACCACTTTGCAGTACTCGGGCAAAATTCCTCTATACAATCCTCTTAAACTTTCTGTGCGAACGATATGCCCAAATGTTCCAAAAAGTCCAGTTTGGTAGACACGGGCCCTTCCAGCTGCGCCTTCCAACTGCATGCGGCGTCTTACTAGATCCAACGGAAATGTAACTGAAATATAATAAATGATAATGATCAGAGCAAGGTTCACTTAGTGACAAAAAATACAACAGATAATTGATCTTTGAGGTGTTATTGACCAATTTGCTCCAATAACAAAAGTCTAGACAGAATCAGAGCATAAACTAGTGGAACAGTGCAAAAAAATAGTTCCTATGTTATTCAACTATAAAAATAGTTTGTGGATTACATGGTAACTTCTTTAGAAGTGGGGGAAACAAATTCTAGCAAAGTGGGGTCTTTCTATTTTGCACATAATTTGTGTATTCACACAACCGTTCCACATTGTACGTTTCATTCTTGAGAAAAGCTCGTCACACCTCAGTAATACAGAATACTTTGTACTCCCTCCATTTCACAATGTAAGTCATTCTTACATTTCCCACATTCATATTGATGTTAATGAATCTAGACATATATATCTATCTAGATTCATTAACATCAATATGAATGTGGAAAATGCTAGAATGACTTACATTGTGAAACGGAGGAAGTAGTAATCAGCATTCGTTTACAGATTACTTACTAGTTGAGGATGCAATTCCTGAAAGACTTCCACAAGCCAAACTGATCAGAACAGGGGAATCATATGGCCTGGTTTAAAGATCAAAGGTAATAAATACAGTTAGAACAAATGCGAGAAGTGGCATGGATATGAATAAAGAGCCCACTTGTATCTTGTGCAACTTACCTCTCTATTTGCCAATGAGATCGCAATGTCTCATAGACACAGAAGCTTATTGCTATGCTGGGACCTACTCCCTGTATTTTAGATAAATATCAATTGGATAACGAAAGGTAGAATGCTCAAAAAGATGGGAGAGAATGGCAGTGTCGAACATTCTTACCAGCAAAGTGGCACCAAGGCCCTTGTAGAGCCCCTTGACACCCTCGTCTCTGCAGATGGCGTAAAGAGCATGAGATATGCCCCTGTAGTAAGCAGTGTTCGTCTGCAAACATTTGATGAAAAGGCTTCATTATTAGTGAAGATTACATATTAAAAATGCAAAGCTTCAATGGAAAAAGGCCTACAGTTCAATAATGCCCAAAGCAGAGAGCATAAATGCAATATGCCTTCTACCCTGAACGTGAAACTGATAAAGAAGGGAATCAACAGGGGATTTTGAGTTATCTATGTCCTTCACATGGAAATAGATGTTGTTTGGTCTAATTGCAGGGAAACTTTTTCAAATAGTGGCTTTTCAAGTGGATGAGAATCAACACAGGAAGCCAGTGATATGCAGACTGGTGACAATAGGCTTACCTGAGCAGCAAGACGAGTCCGTACTAAGTCCAAGGGATATGTCATCGAAGCTGCTGTTATTCCAGACAAACCACCACCTATCAATCTAACACCAACATCTGCACCAAATCCACCATTCCTGTCAAGACCAGGTATCATTTGTAGCAGCTGCACAGTCCAAATTTAATTAAGAAATTAGCCATATAATAATTGTGATAGAGAATGAGCATGCAAGTTCATCTGAAGAAATCTGTACTTACGTTCTTGTACCTCTCATATGTGTAAAAGCTAATTGAGGAGTAAGGTAACCGGTGTGCAATAGTTACAAGATTTCCTTTCCAGAATGCTCGGAAGCCTTCTTCGTAGACAATGCGGGATGCCTCACGCCATATGCTAGTCTTCCGCATGGTAGCCACATCTGAATGCATTCCTTGCACCTGCACATAGAATACATAAATTGGATTAACAGCCACAGTATTTTAAGTAAAATATTGTAAGAAATGTGCTTTCATTGCTTATAAAGAAAAAGAAATGAGTTTGTGCCTCGTTTCACACATCAAACCAGATCAAGATTTCTCAACAAAAGATCTTGTGCGTTGAGTTTTCTCTTCACAGTTAAGTTGTGCAAAATACTTAATAGTTGCTCGGGAAAACAAAATGCCAAAAATATTCCCCCTTATTCCACCTATCTGAAGCAGGATTAGTCCTCGCAGCTCAGCTAAATAGTAGAAACAAATGTCTCACCTTTTCTTAGTTATACAAACCCAAATATCGCATGGATTCATAGTTGTCTACACATGCTCAGAAGAAGTTAAACTACCCGGTCAGCAGCTAAGACGAACCTGGAATAGAATAGTGAGGCGGGCGAGAGGCGCGGTACAAGTCTTGCTGACGGCGCCCGCGACGCCGCCGGCAAGGAGGTGGGGCACCGTCCCGAGCTGCGGCTGGTGGTGGTGCAGCTGCGGCGGCGGCGGCTGCTGCTGCTGCTGCTGCGTCGAGTACCTCCGAGCGGCCGCGGCGGCGGCGCCGCTGTCCATCGTTGCGGCGGCCATCCCCACTCTCGCCTCCGTCTGCATCCGCCGCCCCTCCCTTCCCCCTCCGCCCCCACCAACTCTGGAGAGCGGATTCTGGTGGGCTTGACCAGATCAGGGAGCGCCGCGGGTGGGAGGAATGCGTGGGGAGAAAGCGAACATAAACCCTAGACTTGGGGGACGGACCGGCGAATCGCCACGGGAAGGGGAGGAGGGCTTTAGGGTTTGGGAATATTATTTGGGATCCCCTCTTTAGTTTTCTCCTTTGTGTATGAAGTCGGCGCCCGCGAATAAAACGACACGATGCCCGTCGAGACACTGTATTTTCTATACTGTCGTTGTCGACCCACTCCAAGAAGTGCCAGTGATACATTTCTTGTAAAACTACGGTGATGCAGTATTCAAATTGCATAGTACAATATTTTGACCACAATTATTTTTTTACTTCATACCACTCTTATCTTGTACTACGAATGTACGATGGCAGTGGTACTCATTTCAGTTTTTAATATGTCTGGAGTCATTGACTTTTAGAAATATATTTATCATTCATCTTATTTACAAAAATATGTATTTGCTATTGTAGATTTTGCATTCATGTATGTTTAAAATCAAACGACGTTATAATAAAATATATTAACAAGCGCTAGTATATTATACGCGCGTGTACATCTGGAATTTATCGCTGTGTGTATGCTTGCCGCCATAGAACGAGTTTGATGCATCACGTGCTGATAGAAACTGCTCGTTTCGCGCGTGCCGGTAGGTAGAAGAGATTTTTTCCACACCTGTGGTAGCGTCGCCCGCCACGCCTTCCAATTTTTTTTTTTTTTAAAGGAATACGCCTTCCAAGTTATAGGGTCGGTGCCGGGGAATATCCACGGCATCGCGGGAAGAGGTGCGCCTCTGCCGCGCCACGCTGCGCCGTGTACGTGGCCGCGCGCGCGGCCGCCCGACCGACACCGTGGCGTACTGTCGTCTCGGGCCGTCACGCGCACGGCCGGCACGGGCAATGGCTGGGCCGCGCGGCACGTGAAGGTTCACCGTTTCCGTAGGCCGCCGCCTTCTCGCGGCACACGGAGATGGGCAAAGCAGCGGACCGTTCTAGCCGGCGTCGCCTAGGCCTAGCGCTGCAGCCAGGGCCTCCTACGAGTACTAGACTGGACCGAGCCCAAGTGACTGTATTACGTGGGCCAATTGCAATATCTGTATTAGTAACGTGGGCCAAGAAACGGGTGCATCGTAACAGTAGCACATGGGTCAAGCTGGGCCCACCGGAACAGTCACAGCCTCACAGTTCACACGACTCGTAGTAGCGGCGGGGCCACTGGCGTCCGGACGTACGCGCAAATTGGCGGCCTGACAGGTCGTTTGCTCCTCGTGGCCATGGTAGTTGGTCTCCCGGGAGCATTGTGAATACCGTCTTCAATGAATACGACTGCAGCAAGAGAGATCAGCAAGGCTGCTGTTCCCGTGAGTGACCACCGGAACAGGGATGCCATCCTGGATCTTTAAATAGCATCTTAAATCACGATCCTGAATCTTAAATCACGAGTTGCAGTGCTTTTATACCACAGTACTAATATGTCTGTCAATGTGCGTAATGGAATGGAGACAAAAGACAATGGACGGATGGCTCGGTCAGTTGCAATCGCAGAGAAATCCAGCCGATCACAACGGCAGCCCCGGCTCGCTGATCATCCGACAACGCGACACCGCGCCATGGCGCGAGCACGAACGAACGAGCCTCGTAATGGGCGAAACCACCCGTAGCATGTGGCCGTTTTCATCCCCCTGGACGCTACTCGTTCGTTGCTGATTCTTGCCCCGCGTCGGACGGCTTTGCCTTTGGATTCTTCCAAAGCCATCGATGGGATCATGACAAACACTCATCTTTAGCCAAAGTACTCAACTCCATGGTGCAGTACTACTAGTATTTAGGGCTTTCATTTCTAGCGTTTCCAGCTTCACACTTTCGCCGGTTTCCCGAGCTTTGCTGTCAAAATGTACAGCGTCCAATAGGCCTCTTTTTAGGCTGTGGTCTCGCCGAGCGTAGGATGAGAACTCAATCACCATGAGATTCCACGACAGGACGGAAAGCTGGTTCTTTAATCCACTCATCGGACCAGGACAAGATTCTCCCAATCATTTCGATGCATTTTCCTCATGTCCGTGCGTTTGTGTATTAGTAAAATTCGTGATCCTTATCTCTCCTCGTGAGCTTCCTCTTATCGCGTACTAGCAACCACTGCGTTGCTGACTACGGAGTACTAATCACCTTGTTATTATTCGATTCACATATCACCGTGACCGTGTGTGTCACATGGGTTATACTCAGAGACATTTGTCATATCTGCTAGTAGTAGAGTGTTCATAAAAATGCGATCAAAGATGATGTTTGTTTTACTGAAGATCCAAATAAAGTTAGGACACGGAAAGCATAAAAATTATTAGCACATAATTATTTGAGTTTTAATTATTATAAACTTAAAAAAATATCTAGCTGATATTTTAAAATAACTCCGATATAAAAATTTTACATACGAAATAAATCATTTAGCAGTTTAAAAATGTGCTAACAAAAATATGAAATAACATAGGTAAGTGAATAAGAAAAGAGCGGGTCAAATTTAACAGCAAAACTGCAGGCAAGCAGCTTAGTATGCTGCATTAGTTAGAACACACGACACAAGGGCGTAGAACCCCGGGGGCCCCAGCGGCGTTGTGGATCTTGCAAATGTCTCGCAGATTTCGCATGGTAACAAAAAGATCTGCATGGCGCGTATAGTACTTCCCAAAGCCACTGCTTCAGGAGAGAACTTGTTCTGGGCAACTTTGGAGCACAGCATATGGGAGATCGGTGCCGAAAGAGGATTCGTCGTGGACTTTGTGGTGCAGTAGCTCTGGATGTTGTTGGATCGGTGTCTAGCACACGCATTGTATGCCGTCCAAGACGTGTACTGTGTAGTGGTATTTCGTCTCGGAAAAGCTTGAACTGTATAAGCCATATTTGTTTGTGTTCTCGCTTGCACATGTGAGCCAGAAAAGAGGCGGACAAAGATACGAAGTACGTGTTGATGATTAAAGAATGGCACCCAAAAACCTATTTCACGACCATTTCCGGAATAAAGAAGCTTGCCACATGTGCCAAACAAAGCGGCCGGCTCTGTAAAGGATCGAACGATATCTAACGTCTGTTTTATGTTGGAGTAAAAGAAGAAACAAAGGAAAGCAACTCAATCTAAAGAGAAAAGGGAAGCAAAGGATCGATGCTAAGCAAGCAGGATGACACAAGTTAATCTACTACGTTTTGTTTTCCGGTGTACGTGTTGTGTTTTTTCATCACGTTTAGTCACGTATCACCGATAAAAGTTAAAGTCGTCCATTTGGAACGAAAGAATTCCATAGTATTTTCATATATACGAATCCTAAAATTCATTATCAATAAATACAGTTAAAGTTATCTCTCTATTATCTAATTAAGCCATACCACCTTAATTGTTTTTAGCTATTAGATGATTAATCTATGGTCTAAATTATTTCCCTCTTTTCCTTCACCTACGGAATCATATATTACTTAAATTTGTCTTTGGATAATTAATCTATATTATCTTTTCATTTCTCTTATGTTATTAAGATGTATCATCGTAGTTTTGCTTTTGATTGATCATCCTATATATATGATTTAAACTGTTATAACCACGTCATCATCATAATTATTTATAACTTTTTTCATGGCCGATCACAAATGAAAATTTTATAAAGTATATAAAGTGATATTGTCTAGCTATATTAAATGTTATTTACACTATTATTATACAGAACTCCCATAGCAACGCACGAGGTTTATCTAGTTTTACAAAACAGTTAACTCATTGGTAGAGGCAAAAATAAATATAAAAGAACTAAAGGCGTATGCAATGTTCATTAATAAACTTCTCTCGTAGTGATGTCATATAGTACTCACTCCTTCCACAAGAGTTAGATCTATTTTATATTTGAGTTTCCAAATAAGTTGTTCTGTTTGTAATCTCTATGCATTGCAGACTTAAGTGGAGAGATAAATTAAATGTTTGATCAGAACCCGAGAAGCCATCTTCATACTCATTGGTTGTATGCGTGCATACATTTCTTGTTCTTTGTTACATGCAAGATAAGTTAATTTATCCTTGGTCTTGGTGACAAAAATAACATGTGTAACTTTTGTTAAAGGAGGGAGTATAATGATTTTTAGGTTGTTTAGTAAGTACTAAGGTAAGTTCAACAGATTTCTTTTTTAAGTCACTCTAGTTGTCATTTTTTTGAATTTTGAATTTACTTATCAAGCATCTAATTGGCTATAGAATTATTGAGTGATGGAAATCATGAAAACTGGTGTATACATGCTCATATTAATACGAAATCTGAACCCTAGAATTCCTTGTATTTTAGAATGAAGGGATTAATTATTTTGCTAACACAGTTAGACTTGGAAAGAAGTTGTTCGCTTTTCAAAATTCACAGTTAAAATATTCTCTTCATCTTATAATGGGTTCATTTTTAGCACATCCTATTTATCTCAAATAAATTCTTTTTTAGCAATCATTGCATCAGAGTTTGTGAAAGTATGTATAGGTACATTGGGAGTAGATAAAAAATAATTGCATAGGGATTTCATAAAGTGAAGGTATTATAGTCTTTTTTTTTTGTTCTACATTGGTTTTTACGGGATGGATGAAAATGAACTTTATTTATTCTAGGACGGAGGGAGTAGTTAGCATCCTTGCTACTAGTTTCCACATTTAGGGATAAAACCTATTAACTTAATAAAGTAATAGAAAAATGCGCCTCCATATTCACTCTCACGCCCTAGAAATTCTCATATTAATCGAAGAAAAAGAAAAACAGAGTCCATATAGAAATACAATTTAGAATTAGTCGAAATTCGGAATTAAAACATAGTAATAAATATTGGAAGATGTGACTAGAGCCCATGCCGATATACAATTTAGAATTAATGGAAATTCAGAATTAAAAATAGAAAATTAAAATTAGGTTAGAGTCCATATAGAAATACATTTTAGAAGTAACTAATATTCGGAATTAAAAAAACATATCGAAAGAAGAGTATAGAGTCCATACAAAAATACAATTAAGAAATACTCGGAATTAAAAAAGGAATATTAGAAGAGTATAAAGTCCATATAGGAGTAGGAATTTAGAATTAACTAAAATTCGAAATAAAAATAATAAATTAAAAGTAGAGTTTAGAGTCCGTATAGAAATATAATTTACAAATAACTAAAATTCAAAATTTAAAAAAGGGACGACGAGTCCATATAGGAATACAATTTAGAAGTAACTGAAATTCGAAATAAAAAAATAAAGAATATTGATAGATGAGTTTAGAGTCCACATATAAATACAGTTATAAATAATAAAAAATCAAAATTAAAAATAAATAATATTGAAAGAATAGCCTAGAGTCTATATAGAAATACAATTTACATATAACAAATATCCGGATTTTAAAAAATAAGGATATTGGAAGACGAGTTTAGAGTACATATAGAAATATAATTTAGAAATAACTAAAATTAGATATTAAAAATAATTAATAACTATTACGTATATACAATGTAATATGATTATTACACATCGGTAGGTTGGTAATGTTAGTATAAAATTTAAAATTATATCGTTATTTCTAATATATTTTAATAATTAATTGAGAGAATATATATGCTATTATACGAGAGAAAATATAATTATGTTAGCCACGTAATCTGCACGCGCCACCATGGTAGTTTAAACAACATGAGCAGCTATGCCTGGAACGGAGGGTGGGTACTCTCTTACATTGAAGCTATGAAGTTATGTCAACCATTTTTTTTTCTGTTTGGTTCTCTATCTCTACATCTAGATGAGGTAGGAGTAATAGATGAGTGCATGATTGTTGGGCCAGTAGAATAGAAAAGATGAGATAGCGCACTAACCATGATAATGAGCTAACCGCTAGACACAAGTGGTCGAATAGAGTACCTCTTTTAGGTAACACCGGTGATCAAACTTAGCTCAAAAATTAGATAGACAGGCCTTTTAGGCTTTAGCTCTCCACTGAAACACCCGAAGTTCGTAACCCCTGTGGTCCAAAAGAGAACGGCTCAAACCTGAAAGTCCGAAACACGTTCCCGGCCAACCGCGCGGTACACCTGCATGGTACACGTATCACCACCATTCACCAGCCACCACCAGGTCTCCGAAGCATCGCATCAGCGATCACATTTCACATCACCTCCACGGCTCCACCCCCCGTCCGTCCCTCCGCCCGTCAACTCCCCACTGGGTTTTCTCAGGGGAAAAAAAAACACTCCTACTCCTACTTCAGGCCTTCAGCCCAGCCGCGTCCGGTAAACAAAAGCTGCGACACCACGTACCGCACGGATCACAAGGACGAGATGGGGAGGAACAGGGAAGCGATTGCAATAATTTGATGGCTCGATGGGACGCCGCGAGGGCGAGAGCTGCTGCTACTAGTGCTCGTAGCCAGTAGTATAGGTGGTACTCACCGAAGTCGCCGTCCTCCTGCGCCGGGCGCCGTGCCTGCTGACGTCACCCACCCAAGCACCCACACCACCCCCCGCCCCCGCCGCGACAAAACCGGCCCGGCCCCCCTCCCCCTCCCCACGCCACCCGCCCCCGCGCTTTTCTCTCACCGCTCTCCTCCCGTTCCCACCACCACGGCCGCGTCAAGATCCGATCCACACACCCATCCGACCCCGCTGCCTGCCGGTCTCACTCTCATCCTCGTGATCCCCCGACGACGACGACAAGGGACACAGCTCGGTTTCTTGCTTCCCCCCCCCCCCCCCCCCCCCACCAGTAATGCCCGCTGCCCCCACCGGCCTCCCTCCCAACCACGAGTGCTGCTGCTGCTGCTCCTCCTCCTCTTGGTATTACCGGCTCCCCCTCCTCCGCGGCGCGGTAGAAGTAGAAGCGGGGGCTGTCAATAGGGGAGGGGAGTAGGCGGCGGCGGGGGGGGTGCGAGAACGCTGGCGACTGGGCGCTCACCCGCCTAAAGCCAATCCACCCACCTAACCAGTTGGCGGGTCACGGAGAGGGGACAGGAGTAGTAGAAGAAGTAGGAGGCTCCTAGCTACCACCGCGCCTCACTCCCAATCCTACTACTACTACTACTACCACCCACCGAGTGCGCGTCGCCGTGCTCCAGGTCTCTATCCAGTCCAGTCCACCTCCGAAGCTTTCTTTCGCTCCCACTCTGCTGCGCGCTCTCGTTCCATCTCGCTCTCGCTTTATCCCCCAAGGTGGCGCATCTTTCTTGGGGTGGCATTCTTTCTCTGCTTGGTCGAGGTTCACTGATCTGTGTTCTGGTTGTAGGGGAGGTGGCGGATCTGCGGGTGCGTGACCTCCATATGGGATCTCGATGAGCTGGGGGGACTGTTCTTGAAGTGGTTCTTGGGAGCATCTTGGTATGTTATCTTCGTGACTTCGTCGTATGTGTGCTTTTTTCTTTTCTTCTTCTGTTTCAATGTTTGGGTAATGTGGTTGGTTGGCTCGATTGGAGAGAGATGCTGAAGAGTGGTGGGTTTCTGTTGGGTTTAATGCCGCAGCTGGTGTTCCATCTTATTCAGTTCAGCAAGTTTTCTCCAACTTCCCCCGTTCTGCCGCTATAACGACCATCGTTGATGATGATGCATTTTGTAGGCTAATTTGCAAAGGGAAAAAATGGTTTCAACCTAATCCATATGGTAAAATATTTGTTGTCTATGCAACTCCAGATTTTATTTTATTTTTGCCGGGCAACTAACTTTAGTTTTTTCCCCTCTTGCTTGTAGTTAGACCTTTAATTTTTTTGTGAGTAGCTAGGCTTGCACGGCTAAATTTTCATTTTGTAAGCCACCCAACAAAATCAAGTGGAGAAAGGTGCCCTTTTTCTTGAGGGAAACGGGGAAAGATGCCCCATAGCCATAGTTGATATACATTTATCAGGACTGACTGAACTATTTATGGATGGCTGGGCCCTTAACAATGTGCAAACTATTTTTATATACAAGCCACACACGGTATAGCATCAGGGCAAATATCTATAATTATTTGCACCTTTTATCATTAGTGGGAGCCCTTTTTTTTTCAGTCTTGTTTGCATGGTTATTGACATATCCTAATTAGAACATTATTGTGTCAAAACTGTCGGTGGCCAACTCCCAACCCCACTAAGTACATGTAGAAACATAATGTTTCATAAATCCAGGATTCCCGGGAGACAAAATGATGCCATTGTCCACCGACAAATACTTAGTTCTGAATTGAGATACTGCAATACTGTAGTTATGTTGGTTCTGTGGTGCTGCCTGCTATTTTCTTTCTGTTCATTAGTGCTCTGGTGGAAATATCAGAAGCTACATATCTGAGTTTTTTTCTGCTAATATTGAAGTTGCAGGTTCAAGGAAGTGTAGTATCCTGTTGAAACTTGACGATTCAATTTGAATCAAGTGAAAAGCTCTGCTTGTTGGCGTATGTTAAACCATAAAAAAAGATGCCAACGAAAGGACAGTTTAGCAGAGAAAGGAATGTAAAGGCCACATTAGGTCGTGATGGACGTCAAAGGGGAAATTCACAAGATCAATCTGTACAAGTGCCAAAAGAGAAGATTGCAGTAGTCGGTGGGAACATTGATGGAAAATTTGAAGATAGAATCAGAGTTGTGAAAAATGAGAAGTTTCGAAGGCAACGGGAACCTCGGAGTGCAGATGCGGGTGGATCCTTGAAAGGCTCAAAACCATGGCCTGGTCGAAAGGCCACTACGGTTGATGAGCTTGTCAAGCATATGTCAAATGTTCCTTCATATTTGCAGCGTAAAGAGACATCAGGCCATCTTCAGGACAAGGCATTGAATGTTGGAGTTCTCGAGTGGGGCCTCCTAGCCAGGTGGTCTCACCAACAAAAGCATGAGTTTTCTAGCAGCCATGGTGCCTCTCCATCTAATACTAGTAGGTCCCTGATATTCTCTTCTCCATCCCAGTCATCTGCAAGTCCCAGCAGCAAATCTCTTGAAAGCAATCAATCTCCTACACTCAATGACCATCAGCATTGTTCTATGGAGTTTCAGCAAAGTGATCTTGAGGATAAATACCATGGGAAGGCCAGATATTCACCTAGCCCAAATTCTGCAGTGTTGAACTTGTTGCCTGTTCATGGAAAACACTTTCCAGAGAACACTGGCAAATACGGTGACTTGAATCTCAGAAACATATCTCCACTCTCGGACCCTCTTCTTACTGCCACTGGGAGTTCCATGCGACATGAAATGGTTGATGATGAGGAGACTACAAGGAATATAGAGGAGGCCGTCCATCATTGTTCGCGCAGGCTTTTTACAGATGATGATAACATTGGCCAAAGTTTCTTCACCTCACATAACAATGATTCTGCATGTGGTGATTTTCAGCAGAGCAGTGGCGTGACTGGTGAGGTTTTTGAGACTCTAGTGTCTAGTGCGGTGATGGAAATGGAAAGAAATGCCAGTTTGTCACCTGTTGGTTTCTCAAAAGATATTGGGCAACACCATGAATTTCCTCGAATTCCATACTCATGTCCACTTCCTATCATGGATTCATCTGAAGAGCTTGGCACCAGCAGAACTGGGACTCAAGGTGATTCTGTTGGTGCTGCTGTAACTATAGGTGAAAATCGCAACCAAAAGCAAATTTCCAGGGGTGCCTCTGAGAGAACTCCTCGGATCAGTGCAAAGTTCAGTGATATGGATGCGTCACCACATAGACATCTTGTTTCTGGACTGAATCGAGTGAACCGCTGTTCAAGCCTGAAGGATGGACCATGTCCTCGACAACCTGAAGCAAGCACCTCTGTGGATAAGATAAATGGAGATAAGTCATCAGGCAACAAAGGCAGTAGACGCAGCCCATTGAGGAGGATGTTAGATCCAATATTAAAGCCACGTCAGTCATCCACTTCTGGTCCAATTCAACCTTCATTTGTTCCAAAGTGTCATCTGCCTGGCCATATTGATAAGCAATCTCTGAGCTTGGGAGGATCTGCTTTGCAGAATGTTCAACGTAGGTCAGTTGATTCAGTGGTAAATTCAAATTGCCGAACAGAAACTAATACAAACCAGCCTCCTCAGGTCCTGAACAGTGAAAGGTACCTCCAGCAAGATATAGATTCAACAACAACAAGGCATGCGCTTCTGCAGCTAGCGTGGAAGAATGGCCTGCCTTTTTTCATGCTTTCTTGTGGTTCTGATATCCTGGTGGCTACCGTGAGAAGGAAGGGCATCTCCGATAACAATGATCTGGAGAGCACATACACTCTGTTTGGTGTTGAAGAACCTAAGAAAAGAGGTGGGGCTTGGATCAAGGCAGGTAATAAGAACAAGAAAGATCAGCTTGTTTATAATATTGTTGGGGAAATGAGGGTTTCACATCGAAAATCAAGATGCTACCAGGCAGAAAAAAACCATTTGCATAGAGAATTTGTTCTGGTTGGCTCAGAGCAGCTACCATCTTCTGAAGAATCAGGTGATTCACATGTTAGCAGAGAGTTTGCGGCTTTTATTAGTGCGGTGTCTCAGCAAGAACCAGAAACTTCTCGTCACTCATCCTCACAGCATTCCAGCCGAAGCATGTCAACACCAACCGACTGTTCTTGCCCATTGGGAAATTTCCATCCTAATACGAGGGATGATAGTTGTGCATCATCCAGTGTTCTTGCCGTACTTCCTAATGGCTTCCATGGTACATCAACCTCAGGACAGCCACTACCTCTGATTGAGAGGTGGAAATCAGGAGGAGCGTGTGACTGTGGTGGGTGGGATGAAGGCTGCATGCTCAGTGTCCTCAGCGATGACGCCCGAGAAAACAAAGGTGATAAATCCACTCAAGCAAACCAGACGACGGATGGAAGTCAACGGTTTGACTTGTTTGTTCAGGTGCGTCCTTGTGCTTCTCTGTTCTTGCCTATGTCCTTATGTATCTAATCTATGACGACCTAATCAGTTGATGCTTATATAAATCTGTATTTGTAGGGTCGATCACGAGAAGACAAGCATGCTTTCAGTATGGTTTCATTCAGAGAAGGGTTATACACAGTTGAATTCAGATCATCCATTGCTTTACTTCAGGCTTTTGCTATGTGTATAGTGATGCTTCACGGCAGGCGCCCTACCAGGACGCAAGCAGGTGTGCACGCATCGCAAGAGCACGCATCCCTCGCTGACCATAAGCTCAACAAGATCATGGCAGCTAGTCAAGGTAGAGCTCAGGCAAGCTATGTGCCACACCGGCCGCCGCTATCTCCTGTAGGGCGAGCCTAGCTTCCTGTGATAAAAATGTATGTTTTTCTTTGTTTCTTTTCGTTTTCTTCTGTAACTCGAGTTGCGTCGTGGAATCTTATGCCATGATCCATATGCGACTCACATCGAAATGTGATGAATCTTATGGAATCGGCTTTAGCGGGGTAGCTAACTGTACATGTAAAATGACTAGGTGTGTTGCTGCAAGGCTCATCTCAGTGCTTAGCTACCCTTTTTATATGCAAGCAAAGCAGATCCTCGCAAAGCTTCTGTCACTCAACCCCTTGCAGAAATGGCACCGATGTTGTGATACGTTTGTGCCACTCTCTGTACATGTTCTGGGGGCTGAAAGCCTGGAACTGCATTGTGTTAATCTGAGGACTGAGGCTTAAGTTTTTACTCTTGAAAACACTTGCAGCAAGTTATGTGCGTTTTGGATTGCAGCCACCTGTAGCACAAGTATGTTCAGGAGAAGTGGAAAACATGCTGAAGCCCAGTGTGTGACTAGCAGAACTGGAGATTCTTTCAACTTTACAGTGAAGGGGCGTCATAAGCAAATTACAATACCGCTAATTAGAACATCTATCCCGGATTACTCGCTTTACTACTCACCCCTGAGCATCTATCTGAGGTAAAATCCACTCCCCGAAAACAAAAATATCTCAACCTGCAATATATTTACAGATCTTACCATAAGTAACTTATGGCGATAAGGCACGTAAACACACACGACTCATACGGTGTAACACTGCCCGCTATGTATGTCATGACCTCGCAATGAGCGAGTCGGAATCGTCCATGTTGACGGCGGCGACCTGCGATGGCCCGACGCGGACGGCCACCGCCGGTATCCTTATCGGCGGCGGCCGCGCGGGCTTGACGGCGGCGGAGACGTCCTTGTCCTCCTTGCTATCCTTGAGGTCGCTGGGCGGCAGGAAGCAGTCCATGGAGAGTCCCCAGATGTTGAAGTCGACCTCCTCGATGTTCCACACCTCCTCCATTCGCGTCCGCGTGTTGCCGTCGCTGCTGTCCCCGAAGCGGACGAGCGAGACGGCGGTGCGGCCGGCGTGCGCGATGTTGACGCCGTCGACGGCGCGGTAGTCGTGGAGGTGCGACTCCATGGTGGTCTCCCAGAAGACGCTGCCGTGTCCGCTCGACTTGATCTGCAGCAGGTGCGAGTCCTCCAGCTGCACCAGCAGGCCCGTCCGCTGGCTGAAGTACCCCCACACCGTGTGCCGGATGATCTCCACGCTGCTGCTGTTGCGCGCCCGCAGGCTCGACGCCTCCGCCTCCACCTTGAGCACGAAGCAGTCCTCGCCGTCCACGCTCCTCTCGCCGATGCACACCGCGTCCGCGAACAGGCTCGCCGTCAGCATCGGGTCAAGTCCCTGCGTACCAAACACACCATGCATGCACAAGTTAGTTAATTTCTCCAGTCACTTAATTTAATCCACGTGGACACTATATACTAGTACTATTTATAGCTGTTATGAAAAAAGAACATGGTATGATAGTTGACACCGCGGTCAAATTAAATCGGGCTGGTTGGTGCAGCGCGATTAGCGGGGAGAGTTCAAGAGTCGGGTGGAACCGGCCGGGTGACAAACCGCGAGCCACCAACCGATTGATGGCGTGGGTCGCGTCCCGGTTTAGGCCCATGTCCACGTGATGTGTCCCGCCGCGTTGCTGCAGCACATGGCGGCACGTTGCGGTGACGGTGTTGAAAACCCGTCCCCCCTAATCCCGCTGCTCCGCGCTTTGTTCCCGCTAATCGCCCTCCCCTTGCCATGATTCGCCCCCACTCCACAGCGACAGCGTGCAGCCACCGCTACTGACGATGGATGATGAGTACGTCCCCCATATCTGTGTGTACCGGGTGCCCTGGACCAGATCTCTCGCGCAACGGCACAAGTGTACAAGCCTCATGATGAGACGAGCGAGCGATCGGCCAGCCCTATCCCGACACCGCCCTGGACTGACCTTGACCACAGCTAATGCCAACGGCCCAATGAGTGCGGCAAAGGCGTAATCATGTCGCTCGGCCGTGCGGGTACTCGACCGATCTGTCCTGTCCTACCGACAGTATGCAGGGAAGATCCAGGTACGTGACACTGGCCAAGTTGCCATGCATGCTCTACTCTCTACTCGTACTACGCACGCTCGGTACGGCGCGTACTGATGGCCACCTAGTACCCAAATCAGGCCGGTTTGAGCAGGACGAAGGGGAAAAACAGAGCTTCTTGGGACAAAGAACTACAGAAAGTAAGTTCCCATTAAGATGAGAACTTTGCGACTTTGGACGTATGCGTTCCATGTCATGATACCGATGCCTATTAGTACCTACCACTAGGAACGATGACAACAATGGACTCGCTACGTAAGTTCGGCCAACAGCAACGTTGGATCGACCCAAACACAAAGGACTACTCGTTTTGACGTCGAACCAGAAAAGAAAATATGTGCCACCAAATTTGGTTCTCGTAGTCGTCCGTCTCATAAACAGGATCCAATTCAGTACGCAGTTCTCCTAGTCGTTGGAAACTTTAACTGAGAGTTGAGCGTGTTTTCTATGATGCTACGCGACCATGCAGTATTGCAGTCAAGTCGTGCGAATACGGTAAGCGTTTATATGGAACTAACGAAGAACTCGCGGTTTATATTATACCTGGAGCGATCGGCGGAGAGGGCGCGGCGGACCGCGGGAGGCGTGCGACTGATGCCACGGCGTCTGGCGCCAGGCGACCTTGCCGTCGCTGCCGGCGCTGATCTTGCAGCCGGACACCACGAGCTCCAGGGACCACAGCTCCGGCTTCTTCTGCCACAGCACGAACCCGCCAACCTCGCCGCCGTTCTTGCTGCTCTTCTTCCCGCCGCGGTGCCCTCCGCCGCCGCCGCCGCCGCCGTCGGCGTCGCTGCTGTTGAGCTCCGCGGCGGTCATCCTCACCTTCCCCATCGCGTACATGTTCGTGACCTTGTTCAGCGCCCACTCCCCGCCCGACGCCGCGATGTACTGCTGTATTATGTACTTGGCCGTGGACGACTCCTGAAAGGGGACACGCCATAAATGGATGAGCCAATCAGCGCGCGGCGATGGACAAACGAAACGGAGAAGAATCCGATGATGGCGATCGTACAATGGGATCGGCCTTGAGCTGTTCGCAGAGGACGGAGCAGGGCGACTGCTTGGCGTGGTCGACGGGGAGCGGTATCAGCGGCGCGCCGATGACGCCGAGCATGAGCTGCAGCTCGCCGCGGCTCATGGAGCACGGCTCTCCGGCGCCGCCGGAGCGGTCGGACGCGTTCGGCCGCACCCACGACTTGACGTTGGTGCAGCCGAACCTGGAGCCGCGGGAGCCGCCACCGCCGCTGCCGCGTGAGAACATCTCCTCCGGGATGGGCACCTCGAGCACCGTGTCCAGCGCGTCATCGCGCTCCAGGTTCGGGCACAGCTTCCTCATGGAGACAGCTCTCCTGTTGCGCGAGCTCCGATCGCCTTCGGCTGCTGCTTCTGCTCGCTTTGGTGCCGCCGCGCGGTTCCTTTTGTGTTGCGTTATGACGCCTACCCTGTCTCGGTGGGTTTGTACCGGTTTTGATGAGTCGTGCGGGCAGCTGGCAGGTGGGGTCCAAGATTTGCTCTTACATTATTTTTGCCCCCCCAAAATTTGGTCGTGGCCGCACGCACTCTGCGATCTTGTTTAACATTTCTTTTCTCAAGAGATATCCTTGTGCTCATCGTCCAAACAGTAATATACACATATACGCACGATCATGCGTTGCCCTTTCCTGGTTTCAACTTTCAGCCTTTGTGCCGTTCTGCAGTGTTCCCACACACTCACTTTATCAGTTAAACTTGCATTTAACCGATTCTTCGCTGTTGAAGATGATACTACGTACGGAGTGTTGCTGCACGAGTAGTCAATTCGATGGAAGCATCGACACGTTCAGATTGATAATGGGAACCTGGAGTTGTTGGGAAGCAATTGATCGATTGCCTTTTTTTTTTCTCTCTCGATCCTGATCGCGCATCCGTGGAGTGAGATGTAACACAGTACGTACAAGTCACGAACCATAGGCATGACGCCTGAGTACGTACGAGTTACGACTAGCTAATCCGTTCCGAACGGCCCGCGAGTCCCTTTCCATAACCGGTAGGGCGCCTACGTGCGCGGCACTGGCTTCAAACGATTAGGAGGAGGGGATCGCGAACAGTACTAGTTGTAGTCGTAGGCTGTTGACGTTCGCGCGCACGCACCGTGCACCCGGGCCCCCGTGTTAGGTTGCCGCCATGATCGTCGCTTGATATCGGGCCGCTTCGCTGTGCACGCCGCGCGCCAGATTCCCGGTGTCTCGGCTTGGTTTATCCTCACGCTCCCGGTGGTTGGGCCGCGCCATTCGCGGCGCCGGCGCGGGTGGACGGCTTGATCGGCGGGTCGGGGTTCCGTCCACGCTGCGCTGCGCTGTGGCTGGACGCTAGCGTCGTCCGCTCCGCCCCCGCCCCGTGCGTGCGGGCGTCGCGTCGCGCGGGATTATTGTATTCGCGTTCGTGGGGGTGGAGATCCTGTCCGTTTCCTCCGACGTGCCAACCAGGTTTCTGCCGCTGCCGCTGCTGCTGGAGATCGAAAGGCCATGGACACCACGTACCACTCTGTGAGATCGGGTCTCATCATTGTGATTGCCCGGCTGCCGCTCGACATGGGAGATCCACGGATCAATCAGGCCAGGGTTACTCATCATTTACAGTACACTGATTCGATCCGATCCATCCGTCTGTAATACTATGCATATTTTGCATACTCTCCAATCAAATGGCCGGATCACAGACATTATTACGGAGCGTCAATGATTAGCACGATCTAGATACGCATAAGTACTGGATAAGAGGTGTCAGTGAAGGCAGATAAGATATGGTCCAAATTAAAAGTATTGCTAGTATTTTTAGAGGTTACACAGCTGAGCTGGGTGAGTGGGTGAGTGCCGAGCCATATATGTTGCTCCTCCGGTGTTTTACAGGAGACTGATCGCCGCCGGCCGGCCGCTTTCACGATTGGTGAGCCTGGGCTTGCTGGTGGAAGCAGTTGCCACAGAGACGGGAATATTATTGTTTGCTCGACGTGGTATCCCCAACAACCTGACACTGCGATCGAAATCCGGTGAGCAGATTTCCCTTTCAAAACAAAATAAAACCCGGTGAGCAGGGTGATTCTTTCATGTTTATAGTATAACTGAATTTCTGATCGAAGCATTGCTTGCTAATTTCGCGCCAAGGCCCGACACC